TTTCCTTTGTCAGATATGCAATCTGCCAAAACCTGAGAAGGGCTGGTGGCCAGGAGCTCATAGACCCCTAAGGGATGAGGATCTGGGTCATCTCCCTAGTAAGCCACCTAAAACACAAGAGATGCTAACCAAGGGTGAGAGGAGATCTGGAGGCAGTAGTAGAAGAGTGGGAGAATGAGGATCAGTTGCAGTCTCAAGACCAGCTACTGCAACAAGAGCTGTAGTTCATCTCACCAATATTTCCCTTGTAAGTTTCCCTCAGGAGAAGTGGCCCACCAAAATGCCAAAGACGCTGCTCAAATATACTTAAACTTAGGCTTTATCAGGTCCATGAGACCCAAGAATGTTGTATAAGCAGGGGCTCAGACTCCTTTGACACATGTTCCTGTGAATGCATAGACATTCACTTTTTGTTTCACATATTTTGCAGTTCTGTTGTTTGATACACACACATTTAGGATGGCTATGTCTTCTTGGTGGACTGACCCTTTCCTCATTATATCATGTTCCTCTGTGTCTCTGGTAATTTTCTTTATTTTATATGATATTAGGATAGCCATGTCTGCTTTCCTTTGTGTGAATATACTTTTCCATCTTTTTACTTTCAACTTCATATATTTGAAGTGAGTTTCTTATAGACAACATAGTTGGGTCATGTTTTTTAATTAACTTTGCCAGGGCCGGCCCGTGGCTCACTCGGGAGAGTGCGGTGCTGATAACACCAAGGCCCCGGGTTCGGATCCCATGTAGGGATGGCGGGTTCGCTCACTGGCTGAGCGTGGTGCTGACAACACCAAGTCAAGGGTTAAGATCCCCTTACCGGTCATCTTTTTAAAAAAAAAAAATTAACTTTGCCAATCTCTGTCTTTTAATTTGTGTATGTATTAGAGTTCTCAAGGGAGACAGAATCAATAGGATATATTATAAATATATAAGATAGGACTTATTAGGGGAATTAGCTCACATGATTGTGAAGAAAAGTCCCATGATAGGCGTCTGCAAATAGAATGCCAGTAGCATGGCTCAGTCTAAGCCCGAAGGCCTCAAAACCAGGAAAGCAGATGGTGTCCTTGGTGTAAGTCTGGAGACCCAAAAGCTAAAGATTCTTGAGCTCTAATGTCCATGGACAGGAGAGAAGAGTGTATCCCAGCTCCAGTGGATAGAAAGATTCACGATTTTTCTCTCTTTTGTTCTCTCTGGGCCCCCAGCAGATTGGGTGTTTCCTGCCCACATTGAGGATGGGTCATTCCCACCCAGTCCGCTCACGTTCTGATATTAATCTCTGCTGGAAACACCCTCATGAACACACCTAAACAGATAGCTTTACCAGGTTTCTAAGCACTCTTTAATCTAATCAACTAGACACCTAGAATTAACCTTCACAGTGTGTTTAGACCATTTACACTTAATGTAATTATTGATATGTTAGGGCTTAAGTATCCCATTTTATTTTTTGATTTCTATTTGTTCTCTCTTTTTATGTGTCTCTGGTTTTCAGAAATTTAATTACAATGTATTTTGGTATAGATTTCTTTGGGTTTATCCTTTTTTTTATTATTGAAACATAATTGATTGTTCATATCTGTGGGGTACAGTGTTGAATATTAATACCTGTGTGCAATATGTGATGCTCAAGTCAGGATAATTAGTATATTCAAAGTTACACGATGTAATCATTTCTTGTGGCCCTTTACCATTTGGGGGTTTGCTTAGCTTCTTGAATCTGTGTTTATCTGAGCATATCAGGTAAATACCCAAAAGAAAAAGAAAAGGGAAAAAATAGTTGAGACAGAAAGGAGACCAGAGAGAGAGAGAGAGAGAGAGAGAAAGAGGAGGAGGAAAATTTTACCCTAGAGATACAAGCCATTCTAAAAGGTTTTGTTTTAAAAAAAGTAGGGTGGGTGGGGAGGAGACTGTAGGGGCTGGTCCAAGGACAGGCTGCTGTCTAGAGGCACTGGGCCACTTTCCCCTCCCCCATTTTCCTCTCATCAGCCAGAGATAAAAACTAAAATGGGGGGAGGGCAGAAAAAGGGGGGAAAAACCTGGATACAGGGGGGGAAAAATAAAAATAACTCACTAAAATATATATAGATATAATTTTAATATAGATAAAATGAGTAGATTGTATATGTATACACAGATATAGATACAAAACATACTGTATAATTACATTAAAACAAACGTCCATAATTTGACACAATTGGAAATCCAAAATTCATATGCTAAAGAGTTTATACAGCAAAAGATAAACACGGCACTGATTGGGTTTTATGTCTCTACAACGTAAGTTCTAAATTAATTCTGACATTTACTAAATACACAAATTGACAAACTTCGTAGACTTAATCAAAACCGAGCTCAAATTATAGTTATACCTAGGGTTCTCACTAAATTTAAATGTTGTATCCCTTATAATCTTTAACAGGTAACTACATAGAAAATTTTTTAAAAATACCTATGCCTTACTTTATAAAGTATATAGCCTTGGCTGATTTCCTATGCTTATTGTATCCATTGCCCTAAATATCTCACATTGGACACAGACTTCCTGACACAATAAGTAATACATTAAAATTAAATATTTGGCACTTAAAAATTGGCTCGATAAAATGGGACCCCATAAACCTCCAGTTAAAATAGTTAATATGGCTCAATGTAAGTTAAAATAGGCCCTTCAAAAATTAAAATTTATTATATAAAATGTAATTAATAAAAGGGTAATTACTCCCACTGATTCTCCATTTAACAGCTCTATTTTTCCTGTTCTGAGACCTGGAAAATAGTAAAAGTCACTTCATGGTGGATTAATACAACCTCAATACTGCGGTACCATCTACTAGGACCCACATATCCAATATCTAATATTATTAAAACTACTAAGTCTATTCAATCAATAACTGGTAAGTATTTTGTTCTTATAGATTTGGCTATTATATTCTGTCCAGTGCCTATTTCAACAGTCTCTCAACGGCAACTTGCCTCCACCTTCGAAGGGACACAATATACCTTTTCCAGGCTACACGTGGAAATACACAATATGCCTTTTCCAGGCTACACGTGGAAATACACAATACGCCTTTTCCAGGCTACACGTGGAAATACACAATACGCCTTTTCCAGGCTACACGTGGAAATACACAATACGCCTTTTCCAGGCTATACGTGGAAATACACAATACGCCTTTTCCAGGCTACACGTACCTCCAAAATCTTGCCATCACACGCAAACTTTACAGACAAGATTTTAAGTGCATACGTATTCCTCCAGGAGCACAGGTATGATATTACATTAATACCGTCCTCCTCCAAGGAGATTCATTTGACACGCTCATTACAGACATACAAGTCCAACATCTTTTAGTCCTTTTGGGTTCTGATGGCATCATATTCCTCATTACAAATTTGACTTAATCTCATTGATTACTTACAAATCAGCCCACTTTGGAAGGCAGCTATGCTCACCACTATACCACCACCACTGCCCAAATCGGCCCAATTTAGTCCACCTCCAACAAAAAACGCAGCCCAAGTTGGCCCACTTCAGCCCCCCTCCAACAAAAAATGGAGCCCAAATCATCCCACTTTGAAAGGGGCTCTCACCAACAAAAAGGCTCTAAAATAGGTCCAAATTAAAATCAATAAGCACGCCCATTAGTGCCTGCCCTATTCCTTTACTGAATAGGCTTTAACAACCTCTTCTAATGCCTCCTGGGGGCATAATAGTCTTCTAAAAAAATTCCAGTCTTACAAACGGACTTCTAAATGTGACTATATCTTGCCCCAGGACTTAACCTATCTTCCTAAATTTTCAATCTCACCCCCGCTTCCATAAGGGCTAGAGGCCAGAGCAAGGCCCTCTACCCTCCTGTGACCAATTAACGTTGAGCAGTCAGGCAGCTCTACATCCAATATTGAACACATTTGAACCTAAACTTCTACTACAAAACAAACAAATCAATAAACAAAAACAAACACCTGTCAAATTCACCTGCATACCATCCCGTTTTCTGTTGATTTTGTTACTACTGGTCTGGGTGCTTTCACTGATTTACAATCTGGAGGCCCAAGTCCTCCATGTAAGTCATTGTTTCAGTCAAACATGGCAAATGCTGAGACCCACATCAACCTGAATCTCTATCTACTTTAAAAAAAAAAATACCCAAGTTATCAGCACCGTGCACTAAACAACTGAGCTAACTGGCCATCTGCCAAAACAAAAACAAACAAACAAACAAAACCCCCCCCATAAGTCCCACATCCTAGAAGACATGGTCCTGGCTGGGAGCTCACTGCTGGAGATGACAATGCCTCAGACAATCCTTGTCTAGCCCAAGACCCTGCCATTAGAGATGAATTCACCCCCGCACCAGAAACAGCTTCGTCCTGGACACTAAAACCTACACCCCAGCGACATCCGCGGATTGTGTCTTCTTAGGCATAAATTGGACACAGAACATTTTTTCTTTTCTTCCTTTGATATCAGGCATTCTATCATGCTGAGTTTGCTGTCTGCTTAGCCCATGATACCGGTATACTCCTTGCTCTCTGCCAAAACGTAGTCCCCTACTCTCCCATGCCCAAAGGGAAATCTAATAGAGGTTACTACTATCTATGCCATTTTAAAAATTGTAATCGATAATCAATGATAATCTCTTCTAGGTTACAAAGGTCTTTTGGGTGCATCCTGGGAGATTTTCATTGTTAAGAATAAAATTATTGTGATTTTTGCCAACTCAGAAGTGGAAGAAATGTATCCATGAACTATGTTCAGAGTAAATAAACTGTGTATAGACTAATTAACAAATTAATTTTCCTAATACCCCTTAAGCAATATCTATGAAGATTATTTAGGAAGAAGTGACAATAGGCTAAGCCTAATTTTCCATCATATCAAATGGCTTAACTTGCAAAGTTTTTAAAGGCGTATTTTCACAGAAGTAGAGAACATCACTGACTATGTCATGAAAAATATCTCTGTAGCCCAATCCATTTTCCATGATTCAAATGCACGTTGGACAAGATTTAATTCTCCTTAGGTCATTCTTCTGAAAGCAATCCATACTGATCATTGGAGAGGCGTTGAAAATGTCAGAGGCAAACTGGTAACTAAAAGATCTGAGTCTCCTTGAGACTACAAAAAGGGCCTTCAGCAAATTTTCCATGGTTTGAGTGGTTATAGAATAGTAGGGGTCAGGGTAAAATATTCCCAAGCTTGAATCATAAGGGCAGCTTGCCTTGCCTACAGGACTCGAGCAGAAGATCTTCGTCCTGACACACACTTTCTCAGTGTAACCAGCAATTTTTGCCAGCTTCTGCTTTAAAGTTAGGGCAGTTTGTCTAGAATAGATTTCTGACTCCTCATTCAATACTCTAAGTAAGGTGAATAGGACTGGCGGACTGTCCAAGGAAATCAGAAGAGCATCACAGATGACATTCTGGTTCTCTTGCAAGCCCAGATCCAAAGACCAGCTCTTAGAGAAGATCAGTTTACCTTGTCTGACAGGGCCCATTTCTTCGTATATTAATTGTCCAAGTTCTTCATGTTGTAATAACTGTTCCGCAGAGAGGATTTCTGAAGCATATGTCATCTTTTCTGGTAGAACTAGAGATGGAAATAATGATAATAAATTGTAAAACACTGGGAACTTCCAATTTAAGCCATAACAAAGTAGTTTGCATAGGACCAACTCTCCCACTAAAAACAACTAAAAAAGCTGTACAAAATATATGAAATAATAATTTAAAGAATTGGAGAGCAATCAATACAAGCAGGACTTAAAGGGCTACAATCTTTGATAGACAGGAAGTACAAGAGTAGCTCCACATTCACCTCGGCTTTTTCCCTGAGGACATTTTTCATATCACAGCATGGGCAAATAGAGCCCAAGCAGAAATCAGCAGTTTTACTGGGCTGAAGCAAAATAGGTCACAATTCAAGGCTGTCAGAGGAGCTAGAGTTTGAAAAAGAAAATCCCAGAGAGGATGAAAGTGCGGAGAAGAAACCAAAACCTGCTTACAAATCTTCCTCAACTCACTGGCTGATAAAAGATGAGATGCTGGAAACACAGAAGAAAATATCAACTGGGTAGATGCAGACTGGAACTAAAGTCACAGCAAAGCAAAGGGGCCTTGGTAAATACCCCAGACTTTAAGTTGTGACTCCAGAAGAGACATGACCTAATAGTAAGGGCAAAATTAAAAGACCATACCTAAATAGGCATAAAACAAAATGCCAAAAGAATAAAGGTAATCATCGTGCTCTTTCTGTCTTCCAGAAGAAAATGTAACCTTTTGGAGGAATGTAACATTTCCAAAGTCTCTATCATTTGTAATCCATGATACAATAAAAAAGTAAGAGGCAAGACAAATTACTAAAAAACAAGAGAGAAAACAGATAAGAGAAAAACACTGATGTGCTTCAGATATTGAAATTATCAAAGAGGGACTTTAAAATAACTATAATTAATACCTTCAAGAAAACAAAGTTAATAAAATAGATGAAAAGATGAAAGTGTCCTGATTCTCTTAGAGACTTAGAAAGTTGGAATCAATGGATAAAAATTATGTGGACATCTACAACTTAAAAATACAATATCTAGGGCCAGCCCAGTGGTGCACTGGAGAGTGCGCCGCTTGGGAGCATGGCGGCGCTCCCACCGAGGGTTTGGATCCCATGTGGAGACCGGTTCCCACTCACTGGCTGAGAGCCCAGTGGTGCACTGGAGAGTGCGCCGCTTGGGAGCATGGCGGCACTCCCACCGAGGGTTTGGATCCCATGTGGAGACCGGTTCCCACTCACTGGCTGAGCGCGGTGTGGGTGCAACACTGAGGGTTGCGATCCCGTTGCCGGTCCCCGGTACGGGCGCGACACCGAGGGTTGCGATCCCGTTACCGGTCAGTAAAAAAAAAAATACAATATCTAGGGCCGGCCCGGTGGCGCACTGGAGAGTGCGCCGCTTGGGAGCACGGCAGCGCTCCTGCTGAGGGTTTGGATCCCATGTGGAGACCAGTTCCCGCTCACTGGCTGAGCGTGGTGCGGGCACAACACCAAGGGTTGCGATCCCGTTGCCGGTCCCCGGTACGGGCGCGACACCGAGGGTTGCGATCCCGTTACCAGTCAGTAAAAAAAAAGTCAAAATGGAAAAAAAAATACAATATCTGATATTACGAACTTATTTGATAATGTTTAACAACAGACAGAACATAGAAGACAACAGGATTAATCAATAGGAAGACAGGATGGTAGAAAAAAAGTCCAAATTAAAACTCAGAAAGAAAAGGAATGAAAAAACACAGGATGAGAGACATGTCAGAGATGGTCAAAAGGTCAACATATTTGCACTAGGAATCCCACAAGAAGAGAAAAACAAGACATAAGCAATATTTGAAGAGATAAACATAATTAGTTTTTCAAAGCTGATTAAAGACATCAACTCCCAAATAAAAGAAGCTCAGCAAGAATTCTACCAAATGTTTAAAGAACTAATACCAATCCTTCTCAAACTGTTCTAGGAAATTGAAGGGGACGGAATACTTCCAAATTTATTTTGTGAGATCAGCATTACCCAGACAACGAACTAAAAGGAAAGAAAATTACACTGAAAATATTACTGATGGACACAGATGCAAAACTTGTCAACCAAATACTAGCAAACCGAATCCAACAGCACATTAAAAGGATCATTCACCATGATCAAGAGGAATTTATCTCTGGTATGCAAGGATGGTTCAACATAGGCAAATCAATAAATGTATACTCCCCATTAATAGAATGAAGGGCAAAAACCATGTGCTTATATTAACAGGTGCAGAAAAACCATCCAACAAAATTCAACATTCTTTCATAATAAAAACTCTCAACAAATTAGGTATAGGAAGAATGAGCTTCAACACAACAAAGCCCACGACTAACGTCATACTCAGTGGTGCAAATCTGAAATATTTCCCTCTAAGATCAGGACCGAGGATGCCCACTCATATCACTTCTATTCAACATAGTACTGGAAGTCCTGGCCACAGCAATTAGGGAAGAAAAATAAATAAAAGGCATCCAAATCAGAAAAGAAGTTAAACTGTCACTGAAGATAACGTGAACTTATATATAGAAAATCCTAAAGACTCCACCAAAACACTGTTGGAACTGACAAATTCAATAAAGTTTCAGGATAAAAAATTGGCATGAAAAAAGAATCAGTAGCATTTTTATACACCAACACCTAATTATCCAAAGGAAAAAAAAAAAAGAAAAAGAAAAGAAAGAAAGAAATCAGGAAAACAATCCCATTTACAATAGGGAAGTCCAAAGTCCAAGGAACACATCTGGTGGTAGTGTTATTAAAAAAAATTACTTAGGAATAAATTTCCCCAAGGAGATAAAAGATCTGTACACTGAAAATTATAAAACACTGATGAAAGAAATTGAAGAAGACACAAATAAATGGAAAGACACATTGTGTTCATGGATTGGGAGAATTCATATCATTAAATACCCATTCTACTCACAATGATATACAGATTCAATGCAAACCCTATCAAAATTCCAGTGACATTTTTCACAGAAATAGAAAAAAAAAAATTCATATGAAAACACAAAAGACCCCAAGTAGTAGCCAAAGCAATCTTGAGCAACAAGAAGAAAGCTCACCCTGGGGAAACCAGCTGCCATTCCATGAGGATACTCAGACAACTCTTAGAGAGACTCACATGGTAAGAAACTACAGTATTTGGCCAACAGCCAAAGAGGAACTGATGCCAAACAACAACGATGTGAGTTGGCATGGATGTAGATTCTCCCCCAGTCAAGCCTTCAAATGAGACTGCAACCTCTGCCCGTGGATAACCTAGTGACCTTGAGGCAGAATCACCCAACTAAGCCACTTCTAGATTACTAAACTATTAAAACAATGATAGTTGTTTGATAATAAATGTTTCTTGCTAATTTAAGCTGCTAAATTTTGGGATAATTTATTACATAGCAATAGATAATACATCTATTATCTGTTTAAAATGGGTTGATATTTAAAATTTCAACCTTCCCGCAAGACTGTCCAAGAATGTTAAGTAGCAGAAAGTTCAATAGAAAATCCCCAGTGTTTGAAAATTAAGCAACGTATTTCCAAACAACCCATTTATTAAAATAGAAAGTACAATGGAAATAAAAAGATACACTGAACTAGATGAAAATGAAAATATAACATATTAAAACCTTTTGGATGTGCTTAAAACAAACTTTGGAGGGAAATCAAGGGCTCTAAAATGCATTTCTGGAAAAGAAAAGAGGACTTAAAATCAATTATCCAGATTTCCAGCTTTAAAGCCAGACAAGAACAGCAAACTACACACATAGAAAGTAAAAAAAAAAGAAAGAAAGATAAGAGCAGAAATCATTTCTTTCTCTCAGGAACGCTTGCCTCTTTTACTTACTTGCTCCTTCATCCTTCTTTACCCCTTTCCATTTATTTTCCTTAAAACCTCTTTCCTCTTCCTCTCACATTTGTGAGCCAAAATGTAGCCCTAAATTGTAATTGAATTACTCTTTTTTATGGTATTGTTTAGGGCTACATTGTGGCTGTTTATCTTCCAAGTGGGTAGAAGAAAACAAGAGGCAGTCAACTATTAATTGTATCCATAAGAGATTAGTAAATTAGGTGTTGAAATTTGAAGACTATTGGGCCGGCCCGGTGGTGCACTGCTACAGTGCGCCACTTGGGAGCACGGTGGCGCTCCCGCCGAGGGTTCGGATCCCACATACAGACCGGCCGCTCACTGGCTGAGCGAGGTGTGGGCCCAACACCGAGGGTTGCGATCCCGTTGCCGTCCCGGTCCGGTACGGGCGCGAGCCCTAAATTGTAATTGAATTACTCTTTTTTATGGTATTGTTTAGGGCTACATTGTGTCTGTTTATCTTCCAAGTGGGTAGAAGAAAACAAGAGGCAGTCAACTATTAATTGTATCCATAAGAGATTAGTAAATTAGGTGTTGAAATTTGAAGACTATTGGGCCGGCCCGGTGGTGCACTGCTACAGTGCGCCACTTGGGAGCACGGTGGCGCTCCCGCCGAGGGTTCGGATCCCACATACAGACCGGCCGCTCACTGGCTGAGCGAGGTGTGGGCCCAACACCGAGGGTTGCGATCCCGTTGCCATCCCGGTCCGGTACGGGCGCGACACTGAGGGTTGCGATCCGTTGCCGGTCACGAAAAAAGACAAAAAGGAAAAAAAAATTTGAAGACTATTGATCATTGTCCCAAATCCCCCCAAAAAACCCTTTCTGTCACCCGAGCCAAATGTATCTTTATTGCTAATCCCCATTCTTCAACCTGGCTCAGCATCCATCATGAACTGGACCCATTCTTCCGTGGTCAACTGCATCACACAGTTATCTTTCACATGCCAGGAATTGGGCTCTTTAGCAAACACTGCACAGCAGAATCGCTCCACTCTGAGTGCACAGACATATCCGTGAAGACTTCCTTCTTTATATACTTCAAGGAATTTGCATGAGTAATTTATCTCACTTTTCTCCTCACAGAAGTGATGGACAGGCAGCTTACTAATGGACTTTTCTATTTCTTTTTCTAACTCACTGAGATCACTCTTTTCTGCTTTAAAGCCCATTATTTCTTGTTCTTTTTCATCTAAACCAATGAACAAATATCCCCCATCAGTATTTGCAAATGCAGAAACATATTGAGGGAGAATCTCTTTAATGCGTTGTAACAACTTTCCTGTTGAGAAGTATTTAATTTCAACATGTGTGGATTCAGTAAAGTCAAACTTTTCTTTGTATATAAGTTTTGTCCTGTTAAAAAAGTCAGCAGCCAAAACTTCCACATTATTTTCTTCTTGTGCATCAATATGAGCCCTCTTTGCAGGCAATTTTGGTCTTAAATGAGATCTCCCTCTTGTTTCTTTTATGACTTTGAGAAACTCCAGTGAAGCAGCCGCATTCATGACATTTGCAGAAGTTATATCTCTTTTGTACAAATTGGAGCTCAATGTGGCAATCCGAAGACCAGAGGTTTCCAAGCTCCATGATTTCACAAAAATCAAAAAGTAGTGATCTTTCTGCACGAAGTCTAGGTATTTGGGGACAAATGACACAATATTACAAAAAGAATTTTCCAAATCTTGTCCTATTCCATCTTTTTGGTAACGATAGTTTTTATTCTCAATTTCAGCCTTGATCACTCCCCCTCCAGAATTCAGTGCAGCACACACAGCTTGTATGACTTTTTCATTTTGCTTTTTTCTCAGTTGACTATTTGCCATTTTTTTTTCTGTCCTTCTCCCCAAGAATGACTCTTCCCACATCCAGAACGAGCTCAGCATAGTTAGTTTCCAAATCAATAATGATGTTCATTTTCTCAGCAGCCATTCAATTTCCCAACAGGAATCTTGTTCTGTAAAATAAAGAGAGCCGTTAGACTAGAACCTAAGTAGGAGAGACAGAAAATTCTGTACTGTGAGGCAAACACAGCAAAATCCTTTACTGTATATATTCCACTTGGCTGGTAAGTGTACAGGTACAAAGTAACTTTTTTTGGACAGATTTTGAGCTAACACTATAATTTATACTCCTACTGAATTCTCAAATTCATTGCCATAGTTTTTTTTTATTAAAACATAATTGATTGTACATATCTGAGGAGTACAGCGTCAAATATCAGCAATACGTGATGCTCAAATCAGGGTAATTATTATATTCAAACTTACATATTGTAATAATTTTTTGTGGCCCTTTACCAATTTCTCACTGATCCCCCATAGTTTTATATGATCACTAATTCTTTTAATCTCATCTTTTTCTGTGCTTATATCTCCTTTTTAATCCCTAATATTGTATAACTTATTTTTTCTCCCCTTTCGATAAATAAACCTTGTGGGAGTCTATGTTTTTGGTCTTCTCAGTGTAAACCAGGTTTTCATTTTACATATTATTCATACTTTTCTTTTTATTTTAATAATTTCATCTTTTACCTTCATTAATTATTCCCTTTTATGGGGACTCCTTTGGGAAAATTGTTAGTTGGGGTCTAAGGACTTCCAGCAGTATGCCATGTTAATTCTTTTTCCTTCTTATAAGAATTAATTAGATACAAAAATTTTGGCCCTTGATCTTAAACAAGAAAGGCCAAGCCACTGTGCCCATTTTCTACCAAATATCCACATATTTTTTCAATGAGGTAAAATTCTTATAAACAAGACATCTGTGTCTGAATGTTTGTGTCCCCCCCCCCCAATTCATATGCTGAAATCCTAACCCCTGAAGTGATGGGGACTTTGGAAGGTGATTAGTGGTGTGGTCCACGCCATGGCGGGGTCTTGAAAAGAATAGCTTGGGCTGCCCTTTCCGAGCTGGCAAGGCCCCGGAGGGAGAGCTGCTGGCAGGGCCACAGCTACCAGCACTTGCTTTCACTGTAAAGATCTCTGCCTCGGTATAGTGGTGCTGCTTTCACTTTCTCTTTTGATGTTTTGGTCAGCGTGGCAGTTTCCTGAGTTTCCAAAAGATGCAAAAAATGACACACAAACAGTTGTTGTCGTAAAATTAGATTATTCCACAAAAGATCTGGGAAGATTGAACAATTCCAAATTGTCCCTTTTGAGCCAATTTATTATACCAATGGATGTTTTAAAAACACCTTATGAATAGCCATGAGCAATTGTTTTTACCAAAGAAATTAATAAACAATAGAAATCCCCACCCTCTTCCCACCATCTGGGTAAATGATTATACGGGTTATAAAATGTGGTAAGGAAAAATTTGGTACCCTCCTAGGGGACGTTCTAAATATGACTTAAGTTGGCAAACGTCATTTACAGGGGATTATATTAATGGTAAGAGAATGGTTGGAATTAATGGAAAAAGATACTATAAAAAGAATTAAGTTTATGAGAAAGAATGAGTAGAAACCCTGTTACTCATTGGTGTCCTAAGTTAAGTAAAAACACCTTAGTAAGATATTGGGACAAAAACATATGATGCACAACTTTCTCTCCTAAAAATAAAGATTATAGATGGAATTTAGAATGCACCTGGTTTTGTGACGGATGGTGCTGTGCACTTTGACACTTTACATTGGGCCACACAGCAGCTATATTAAGTACATACATGATAAAGCTGTTCAAATATCTTTTATTCCTTTTCCAAATAAACAATAGGTTCATGCCTATAGAAATATGAGAATCATTAAATCAAAATTAAAAATATATATAAGGTTTGTTTAACACTTTGAAACCTCAATCGCTGCTGTCTCAATTTTGAGTCAGACATATAATTTATGCTTGCTGGTAGTAATAAGTTTAAGGCTAATACGAGGACAAGAAAAAAGAAACACAATGGTGAGAAACGTCAAGAACAGTGAGTCATGTACTAATTGACCACACAACAGATACAATCACCAGAAAGAATTGGCTGACCACCAAGTTTTATTTAACTTTGTGGATTATTAATTTTATGAGAACTGACATAATTTTAAGAAAAGTTTCCGTTTAACTATTGGTTTAATAATTTTAAAGGTTTATGTAGTTAAAATGCCCACATTAACCACCCCGTGTTGTGTAACAAATAAAAATGCTGTTT